ACAGTATATATAGAACTGTGAGTCACAGTTTGAATAGAACAAGGCGTTCAAGTAAAAATAGAACTGCGAGTCACAGTATATACATTTATAGAACTGTGAGTCACAATATAAACAGACCTTTGAGTCACAGTATATATAGAACTGTGAGTCACAGTATATACAAAACTGTGAGTCATAGTATATACAGAACTGTGAGTCACAGTATATACAGAACTGTGAGTCATAGTATATACAGAATTGTGAGTCACAGTATATACAGAACTGTGAGTCACAGTATATACAGAACTGTGAGTCATAGTATATACAGAATTGTGAGTCACAGTATATACAGAACTGTGAGTCACAGTATATACAGAACTGTGAGTCATAGTATATACAGAATTGTGAGTCACAGTATATACAGAACTGTGAGTCACAGTATATACAGAACTGTGAGTCATAGTATATACAGAATTGTGAGTCACAGTATATATAGAACTGTGAATCACTGAGTAAATAGAACAGAGAGTCACAGATGAATAGAACTGTGAGTCAGAGTATATATAGAACTGTGAGTCATAGTATATATATAACTGTGAGTCACAGTATGAATAGAACTGTGAGTCAGAGTATATATAGAACTGTGAGTCACAGTATATACAGTTATAGATCTGTGAGTCACAGTTTGAATAGAACAAGGCGTTCAAATAAAAATAGAACTGCGAGTCACAGTATATACATTTATAGAACTGTGAGTCACAGTATATACAGAACAGTGAGTCACAGTATATATAGAACTGTGAGTCACAGTATATATAGAACTGCGAGTCACAGTATATACATTTATAGAACTGTGAGTCACAGTATATACAGAACTGTGAGTCACAGTATATACAGAACTGTGAGTCATAGTATATATAGAACTGTGAGTCACAGTATATACAGAACTGTGAGTCACAGTATATACAGAACTGTGAGTCACAGTATATACAGAACTGTGAGTCACAGTATATACAGAACTGTGAGTCACAGTATATACAGAACTGTGAGTCACAGTATATACAGAACTGTGAGTCACAGTATATACAGAACTGTGAGTCACAGTATATACAGAACTGTGAGTCACAGTATATACAGAACTGTGAGTCACAGTATATACAGAACTGTGAGTCACAGTATATACAGAACTGTGAGTCACAGTATATACAGAACTGTGAGTCACAGTATATACAGAACTGTGAGTCACAGTATATACAGAACTGTGAGTCACAGTATATACAGAACTGTGAGTCACAGTATATACAGAACTGTGAGTCACAGTATATACAGAACTGTGAGTCACAGTATATACAGAACTGTGAGTCACAGTATATACAGAACTGTGAGTCACAGTATATATAGAACTGTGAGTCACAGTGTAAATAGAACTGTGAGTCCATGTAAAAATAGAAATGTGAGTCCATGTATGAATGGAACCATGTATATATATATAGAACTGTGAGTCACAGTGTAAATAGAACAGTGAGTCACAGATGAATAGAACTGTGAGTCACAGTATATATATATAACAGTGAGTCACAGTATATATATAACTGTGAGTCAGAGTATATATAGAACTGTGAGTCATAGTATATATAGAACTGTGAGTCACAGTATGAATAGAACTGTGAGTCACAGATGAATAGAACTGTGAGTCACAGATGAATAGAACTGTGAGTCACAGTATATATATATAACAGTGAGTCACAGTATATATATAACTGTGAGTCAGAGTATATATAGAACTGTGAGTCATAGTATATATAGAACAGTGAGTCACAGTATAAATAGAACAGTGAGTCACAGATGAATAGAATTGTGAGTCACAGTATATATATATAACAGTGAGTCACAGTATATATAGAACTGTGAGTCACAGTATATATAGAACAGTGAGTCACAGTATAAATAGAACAGTGAGTCACAGTATGAATAGAACTGTGAGTCATAGTATATATAGAACTGTGAGTCACAGTATATATAAAACTGTGAGTCACAGTATATATAGAACTGTGAGTCCCAGTATATATAGAACTGTGAGTCACAGTATATATAGAACAGTGAGTCACAGTATATATAGAACTGTGAGTCACAGTATGAATAGAACTGTGAGTCATAGTATGAATAGAACTGTGAGTCATAGTATATGTAGAACTGTGAGTCACAGTATAAATATAGCTAATTTAATTCATGTTATAAATAGAACAGTGAGTTGCGGTGAAAATAGAACTGTGATTGAGTCACAGTAAAAATAGAACAGTGAGTTGCGGTGAAAATAGAACTGTGATTCACAGTATATATAGAACTGTTATTGAGAATATGAATGTGAAATCCTTTCTTTTAATGATGATGCATTATAAAGGAATGTCCTATTTTTACAAATTTGAAGCACACTTTTGCATGAATTTGAGCTGGGAATTACTTTGAATATATCAAATATGATTTGTGAGTAAGTAGAGTTAAAGATGCTGGAATGTTAGACATGGAGATAACAGCTATTGAGTACATATGTTTTTTTCTAAAAAAGGTAACAAAATAAATTAAACATCAGTCAAAGATACCACAATTAAACAATATCCAAATATTTACAATTTGTGATGCTGTTTGAAGACTTTCCACACAAATTGACGATAAAATACATAAAAATATGGCTACTGCTTACATGCGGAATGTAAATTCCTGAATATAATGAAGTCATGTGTTCTCTACTCAGCACCAGGAACTCTATAACAAAGCTAGCATGTAGGGAACTAATTTCCTTGGTCCCACGAGAGTTCAATATAAACAAGTTTTACCATAAATTACTAGTTGGGTTCTTCAGCACTATGAAGTGTATATAGTGTTGTAAAAACTGGCCTGGTCATACTGTTATCGTTAAGTAATTTACAATGTAGAGAATTGATTAAACAAACTGTTTAACAATTTGAAATAAACAAACATCATCCATTTGCATTTAGTCATGGTAAGTCAACATCTCCACTGCTAATTACATAGGAGACAGGTACAAATACCACAAAGATTTCGAGATTTAAAAATAGAAATTAAAACTGTCCCAGATATTCACTTGTTAACACTGTAATTTTGAGTGCTTTAAAAACTTTCTAACAGGGAAATTTACCCAGTGAAAGTTTTGCCCTACAACAATAAAATTCATATTTGCCTAATATTGATTTTGCCCTTCCCATTTGACACCTATGCTCATTGTATTGTTTAACAATATTTGCTGTAATGATAAAATCACCCTCATTGTTGAGGGTGAAAAAGGCACATGTTAAACTACGGTGAACATTTCTCGGTATACAGTATTCCAGGGAAGTGAAAATGTCCTGTTTTACTTATCATTACCATACTATACACAGCTTAATATATTTCTGTGTAATTATCTAAATTACATATTTATCAAAATGATATGATATATACAGAACCATTGACCTGAACACTGAACACATAGGTTTGAAACAATATCAAGGTTAGACATGTACATTATAAAAATACTCAGCAAAAATCATACGGCGATGGCTTTTTCTTCAGAATTTGATGAAAAGTGCAAACAAATTCTTAGGCAGTAAGAGCCTCAATGTAAACCAAAGCTGTCCACTGGCAATGGGACAAACAATGTTCTTGGTTACACCTTGAAAGACACAATAGGTAAAAGTCTATTTTGGTTATCCTCCATCAAAACAACTTAATCATGGCCAAGACCTAGATGTTGTATCCCTATAGCACATTGGTATTACCACCTAAACCAACAGTTCATCCATTATCACAAGGAAAAAGTCAGAACATTTCTGCCATATATGAACTCTTTCTTGGTTGATCCAGCAGACAATTGAAAACTAATGCATGCTATTCAGGTCCTTGGTAAATCTCTTCAAAACATTTATAAGACCACCTGTTCCTTACTAATTCTGTTGTCTAGTTTTTAAGGTGCCTGATGAACTTACGAATAAGCCATTTCACCTTGTTCAATTCTTGACCTAAGATAGCTTGTACAACATCTCAACTTCAACTATAACACAACTTGATCTCATCACTATGGTGATCTATCACAGCGTTGTCTGTGATCACTCATATGTCTATTTCATCACCATGGTGATCTGTCACAGTGTTGTCTGTGATCATTCATATGTCTATCTCATCACCATGTTGATCTATCACAGTGATGTCTGATCACTCATATGTCTATCTCATCACCATGGTGATCTATCACAGTTTTGTCTGTGATCACTCATATGTCTATCTCATAACCATGGTGATCTGTCACAGTGTTGTCTGTGATCACGCATATGTCTATCTCATCACCATGGTGATCTGTCACAATGTTGTCTGTGATCACTCCTGTCTATCTCATCAACATGGTGATCTGTCACAGTGTTGTCTGTGATCATTCATATGTCTATCTCATCACCATGTTGATCTATCACAGTGATGTCTGCTCTCTCATATGTCTATCTCATCACCATGGTGATCTGTCACAATGTTGTCTGTGATCACTCCTGTCTATCTCATCAACATGGTGATCTGTCACAGTGTTGTCTGTGATCACGCATATGTCTATCTCATCACCATGGTGATCTGTCACAGTGGTGTCTGTGATCACTCATATGTCTATCTCATCGCCATGGTGATCTATCACAGTGATGTCTGTGATCCCTCATATGTCTATCTCATCCCCATGGTGATCTGTCACAGTGTTGTCTGTGATCACGCATATGTCTATCTCATCACCATGGTGATCTGTCACAGTGGTGTCTGTGATCACTCATATGTCTATCTCATCAACATGGTGATCTGTCACAGTGTTGTCTGTGATAACTCATATGTCTATCTCATCACCATGGTGATCTATCACATTGATGTCTGTGATCACTCATATGTCTATCTCATCCCCATGGTGATCTATCACAGTGATGTCTGTGATCACTCATATGTCTATCTCATCACCATGTTGATCTATCACAGTGATGTCTGCTCTCTCATATGTCTATCTCATCACCATGGTGATCTGTCACAGTGGTGTCTGTGATCACTCATATGTCTATCTCATCAACATGGTGATCTGTCACAGTGTTGTCTGTGATCACGCATATGTCTATCTCATCACCATGGTGATCTGTCACAGTGTTGTCTGTGATCACTCATGTCTATCTTATCACCATGGTGATCTGTCACAGTGTTGTCTGTGATCACTCATATGTCTATCTCATAACCATGGTGATCTGTCACAGTGTTGTCTGTGATCACTCATATGTCTATCTCATCACCATGGTGATCTGTCACAGTGATGTCTGTGATAACACTGATATTTATCTCATCATCGTTGTGATCGGTCAGAGTGGTGTCTGTGATCACTCGCGGCCATCCTTTCATTTCTATGATCTGCTACAGTTGATCATACTCATATGTCCATCCCATCTGGAGCCGGTACAGTCTGAACACAAGAAAGTATTCAACTATTATTGAGATAATAATGGCTTCATCAATTTTCGACAGGTTACATCAGATATTTACTCTGGACTGAACATTAATTAGATAACTGATTACGAATAGAATAAGTGTGTATTCATTTTTAAACATGATTACCACTAATTAAGCGAATTGTGTAGTATATTCTTTATATTTTCAAAGCGAATTAAAAACAAAAAGCATCGGGAATACATTTTATGTTTTATTTCTCTTCAAACAACGATCGAATACAACATCAAATATGCGATAGACTGTAATCCCATCTAACTAAACACAATTTACCTAAAGTAAGGATTAATTGAATAAGTGACCTTTATGTGAGATAGGTGTTGGTGGGTACTTCACACTCACCTTCAAATCCAACAAGTGGTAGGGCACGTCTAGACACACATTTCTGCGTTGCACTTTAAGATGACCCCTAGCTGATGCTGGACCTATGACCTTGACCTCTTCACCTCGACATAACACATTATCATCACTGGCCACTTCTATAATATTAAAATGAAACAATGTAATTAGGAAAAACAACAAAAAAAGTATTGTGAGCAATCCCTAGCCTCCCATCCCACACAAACTTCAGTACAAAAAAATGAACAAAAGACCATAACCCTGTTTATAAGGAAGTGAGATGGGCACCAAACCCGAATGTAATATGCAATACTCTGCTTTCCCAAGAGGTAATAGAATACAAAATTTGGCAATTGTAGATGACAGGGTATATATAAATGATATGAACATTCTGATAAGGTAAGATATGCCCAAAAAAGGTGACATACATGCAGACTAACTGATGGATAGACAGACCGACTTAGGGATAGACAGACTGACTGATGAACAGACAGACTGACTTAGGGATAGACAGACTGACTTAGGGATATACAGACTGACTGATGGACAGACAGACTGACTGAGGGATAGACAGACTGACTTAGGGATATACAGATTGACTGATGGACAGACAGATTGATTGATGGATAAACAGACTGACTGAAGTAGACAAACTGACTGATGGATATACAGACTGACCGATGGAAAGACAGACTGACTGAGGGATAGACAGACTGACCGATGGATATACAGACTGACTGAGGGATAGACAGACTGACTGATGTATGTACAGACTGACTGATGGATACACAGACTGACTGATGGATAGAGAGACTGACTTAGTGATAGACAGACTGACTTAGTGATAGACAGACTGACTGATGGATATACAGACTGACTAAGGGATAGACATACTGACTTAAGGATGGCATACAAACTTACAGTTCCCTCTGGTAATACCAGGCTGGTACTTATAAAATGAAATGATATGGAACCCAATACTAAGAAACAATACAAAAGAATACCTTCATGCCACGCATGTGACACTCCATTTACAGTGGAACATTTTTAATAGAATGTTCCGATTTTAAACACATTCGTGAAAACTACTTTCGAGTCCCGGGTATATGAAAACTCTTTTCAGTTCCGTGGACTCGAAGGCATTATTTAACTATTTGAAAGACATCGGTCTATTTTATAGACTCTGATGTCTTTTAACCCACCTTACCCTTTTTGACGTTATATATATATCACATATTCCATATCATCTATCTCTTTTATTATTTTAACCCCCTTTTTTATTTTTTATTATCTACACATACAATGCGAATGCTTTTAAAATGAACCATTTTATCTGATTTTATCTTCGCTACTCACATGTTTGTTTAAAAAAATAATAAATAAATAAATCAACATGGCCCTAAATGACCACAGCCGTCGATGGGCCGTTAAACATAAACAAACAAACAAACAAAAGAAAACATTTTCACAACCATTGATATGACACATCTGGCTAAATAAACCATGGGCAACAAAGGTCACAGAGTGACATACTTGGAAAGTCATCCTTCATGATTCTGGACTGTGGGTAGCTGAGTCGTACGTTCCCCGACACGTTGTAAGACCTGGTAGCAGGGATCGCTGGTGCTGCCTCCTAAACAGTCACACTTTGTTTTTATTTTTTAGTTAAAATCAAAATATCCAAACTTCAAATAAACTTTAAACATCACATGCATAAATACTTTCTTACATGTAAGTGGTTTTAGACTGAAACCATCGATTCAGCGACATGTAATATGTCCTACTCATATGGGTGATGATAAATGAAATGGCAATTGAAATTATCTCAGGAATATTATCTTTTCTAATTGTTTTTGTAAATGAAATAACTAAATTATATAATTATATTATTATATAATACTTCGTACATATGAACAAATATAGCACTTTTCACCGTTTAATCAGTTCCTTTTTATTCATTCTGAATCAAAAATATATGTATTAAAACTATATGCTTACCAGTGAATTGATCTGGTATGGGCTAAAATATTAACTCTGCTTGTTGAATTTGAGTTCCCTGTAGATAATATTCATTGAAATGTTTTTGCTTTTCTGAAAAACTCTTTGCAAAATTAAATTGTGACCAGATAAAAAGATGTTGAGACAATATAATACATTTGAAAATGATTTATCACCTGGAACTTATTTCTACAAAACTGAAAGAAAAGTCTACATTTATGTAATGACAATAAAAGATTCTTGACAATACAGCATGGACTACAGCTAAAGGGAGATAATTAGGTCCGATTCTTACCAGACTTATTTTATAGTAGCTTGAGGCCTGCTGTAGTAATCGGGGATCTTTCTTGGGTCCACTTTCTTTTGTTTTACTTCTTTTTCTGAAAGATGTAAAAGGGAAGATGAAAGGGCATGCTATAGAAAAACGGCTTGAATACAGAATATGAATATCAGCGTATATCTACAACTGAGTATACCTGGTATGTAAAACCCAACAAATACCAATAGATGTAAATCATCAATGTATCTACATTATAAAAGTCACCAACAGATGTAGGATTAATAAACAGATTTATATTTATACCATCTTTGAAGTCATCATATACTTGGGAGTATTATTGTGTTTATCTTTTGACATTTATATTCATGCAAAAAGACCGGTTCATCTACCGGTACTACGTACTACGTTTAGAGGACCTGAAATACTGGAGCAGGCCTTGGAAGTCTAAGTCATGGCTTTAACAAGCAACTCTGGTCGAACCAGCTGACCATTTAGATAATGTTAAACAAAAGTAGCCCTTGATCTATTGTTGAAGGTTGATTGACTACATTGTATGTGAACTGTCTCACCTTTGTACAGGGTATGTGAACTGTCTCACCTTTGTACAGGGTATGTGACCTTCGGGGCACCCTGTTGTGTCTGTAACGTTTTGCGTCTCTCGGGCCACAGTTTACGCTGTAGGTAGCCCTTCCATACGGCCTGTATAAGGGATGCAGCATTGTCAAACTTCTCCACCCTCATGGCCTCCAGCTGTTGCCGAGTTCCTTCACTACAAAATTCATATCTTAATTATTATTGCATTTTTAAAAATGAAAAAAATTGTGAAATCCATATGCTAAGCACTTCCAACAAAATTTCTCTTCAATTCGGTAGGAACTTAGAAAAATGATCTCAGACACCCAACTAGCATTTTTATATTAAATTATGGTTACTTTATACTTGTGTGTATTTTAAAGTTATCAAGTTTTACCTATGCACTGTATTTTTGCTAATTTTGCTAAACACTTTTGTTTGATCTTTGCTATCATGTTTGACCAGTGCATTATATCATCTGACATATGCACTTGTTTGTTTGACCCTATTTTGTTATTTTGTTTGACTTTCTTGTTTGACTTTTGTCCTATTTTGCTTGACACTTTGTTTGACCTATACACTTTTTTTACTGACCTATGCACTATTTCGTTTCATGACAGCACAGTTTTCTTTGGCCTACCTGAAGAAGATGTGTTTCTTGCCTAGAGTCCACTGTGTACTGACATAAGGGAGCTTACTGTCGTCCATAGCCTTCAGGAAACTGTTCAGTATCGCCTGTCAAGTAGATGTGTTCATTATAAAGTAAAATATTACGTTTGAAATAATGAAGACATCTTTGACTAAAAAAGTAACTAGGAAAGTAGAATGCTGTAGCTCGTACCTTGCAGTGCTCCTGTTGTGAGCTGGTCTGGTACGGGTTCCAGTGGGTGAGGAAGACGGCGTAACGGTTGTTGAAGGACTTATACCTCATTCTGTGAGGAATACCTACAGAAACATCAATCAATTTTATATTATCAAATCATCAGTTAACTGACATAACTGACTTCGATTTTTTTTTCTTTCAATTCCTATCCATTTAAAACGTACTTAGATGAAGAGGCCAATTAAACAGCAGTATGTAAGGACACTACAGCCATAGTGTTAAGAAACCTTTAAAATTAATTGCTGATAAAGGATTTTGTTTAAGGATGCAGGCATAAACACATTCATATACATGTAACTCACCTCCAGCCATTAGCTGGACAGTGTCCAGAACTTGAAGTGACCGCAACTGACGGAGGATGACATCCTTGTCAAACATATCCATCTCACATCTATCATTGCTCTGAGGAAAGAATCTTCAATATTCAACCTTATCTCTATAAAATTTGATAAAGATGTCTCTGTTTTAATTTCAAAGTCTAAATAAAGAAATATTTTAATTTTGTGGATTGTGTCAAGATGAAATGGTAATCCTTGAAAACACCATTTATCTTAGTAAACTCTTTAAATATTATTGAATGATTTGTATTTTAATGTAGAAGTATGGGTAACAGCTATTACACGATACGATTGTGTTAGACAGTACCTTGATACACTCAATGAAGTGCGGTTTAGTGTGAACCAGTGTTCTGATCAAGCTGTCGAGTTTGTTCTGGAAGTCGCTGGACAGAGTTCCTCGAACTTCATCTGACCTACACATATAGGTGACAAATACTATTATAAAAATCAATACAAAAAAATCACCTGACCTACACATATAGGTGACAAATAACGTTAGTGCAGGCAAATTCGCCATGCACCCAAATTCGCCACCCTGTGTCGAAAATGCCATATGACGTCATAATACATAAGATGTGACGTAAATAATGTCACCATAGTCTTCAACACAGTTCAAATATTTTGACAAGAGGTATAAGAAGGGAAAAACTAAACTTTTAATCAAAACAGTTACGAAATATCTTGTAAAACAACGAATCTTGAAAATTTGGTCCGTGCGACGGACATCTCATCGACTAAACTCATTAATCTGAGGAGAGTTGGTTGTTATTTAGTGTAAATTTATTACATAAACATGAAAATACCCATATCTTAACGCTGATTGCAGTTAATGCAAGTAAATTGTTTTTCTAGAAGTGTACTTTGTTACATGTACAATGTACTGACGATCCACTGCGTGTTTATGGAAATGACGATCGGAAAGTTTCCATTTTCATGCAATGTGTATTTAGAATACAATCAACCAGTATCTTTTTAAAAGTATTGTTTGCGTCTTACCTTCAACATTCTTACAACACTTAAATTAAAACATCATCTAGAAATTTTCTAGATTTATATCTGAAAGGAATTTGTTGTCGGCCTGAAAGTGCTGCTGTACAATCGCATGCTGATTGTACGTAGACACCGGCAGTTACCAAAGACTGATTTTTACATGAACAAGAGGCCCAGAGGGCCTGTATCGCTCACCTGAATATGTTTAAAATAATTGGTATTAAGTAAAGATATAGCACTCCATGGTAGTACATATGAAATTTCAGAAAGATCCATCCAGTACTTGAGATATAGCGAGCCCCACCCCTATGCACCTAGGGGGGTCATATCCACCAATTATACAAAATTATTGAGACCCCTTGGTCCAAGGATGCTCCAGACTAAATATGGATAAAATCCCTTAATCCCGATGGTCGAAGAAGGATTTTAAAGGTTTTACCTCTATTTCCCCTATTGGGCCCCGACTCTCTTGCCTCCAGGGGGGTTAGACACTCCGTTTATACAAAATTGGTTCCCCTTCACCCAATGATGCTTCATATCAAATTTGGACAAAATCCTGTCATTCGTACAGAAGAAGAAGGTATTTGAAGAATTTGCTGTTTCCCCTATTGGGCCCCTCCCGTCTGCCCCCAGGGGGGCCACACTCGCTGTTTATACGAAATTGAGTCCCTTTTGTCCAAGGATGCTCAAGACTAAATTAGGATAAAATCCCTTAATCCATATGGTAGAAGAAGGATTATAAAGGTTTTACTTCTAATTCCCCTATTGGGACCCACACCCACCGTTTATACGAAATTAGTTCCCCTTTACCCAAGGATGCTCCACACCAAATATGGACCAAATCCTTTCATTCCTACAGAAGAAGAAGGATTTTAAAGAATAATTTGCTATGTTTCCCCTATTGGGCCCCGCCCCTCAGGCCCCTGGCGGGCCAGAACCACGGCTTATACAAAATTGGTTTCCTTTCACCCAAGGATGCTTCAGATCAAATATGGAACAAATCCTTGCATTCCTACAGCAGAAGAAGGATATTAAAGAATTTGCTATATTTCCCCTATTGGGCCCCGCCCCTCAGCCCCAAGGGGGGTCACACCCTACATTTATACAAAATTGAGTCCCCTTGGCCCAAGGATGCTCCAGACTAAATTAGAATAAAATCCCTTAATCCCTACGGTAGAAGAAGGATTTTCAAGGTTTTACCTCTATTTCCCCTATTGGGCCCCGCCCCTCTGCCCCCAGGGGGGCCACACCCACCATTTATACAAAATTGAGTCCCCTTGGCCTAAGGATACTCCAGTCTAAATTTAGTCAAAATCTACTAGGCCGTTCAGGACGAGTAGCGTTTTAAAGGAAAAGTTGACGGATGGACGGATGACGGATGACGGATGACGGACGACGGATGACGGATGACGGACGCTGCGGCATGACATAAGCTCACCATGGTCCTTTGGACCAGGTGAGCTAAAAAGTGAGTACATTTACAACACCTGGCCAGGCAGTCTTTGTTGAACAAGTTTTGAAGCCCAAGAAAATCGTTACGATTTTTTCAGATGTGTCCCGTTGACGTGCAAGACTATCGGAGACGTACNCTGAATTTGTTTAGCAACCGCGTTGCTAACAACGATGTGGAAGGGTGAATTGAAAGCCCTGGACACTCTCATCCTGACCCGATGAAAAATATAATATTGGGCAGCGATTTGGAAGTTTATATTTGTTAAGGACTGAGTCTTTATTGCGTATCATGTAAATTGACATCATCTCAGCCGATACCAGCCATCTTTCTCAAACAGCATTAATCAGTGTCTTCAAGTTACCGAAAACTAGCTATCCCAACTAAGAAAAGCCAACTATTTCAATGTTAATCCTTGTTACACACACACATTTGGAGCTGTTCGTATCATTACGGCTTGTGTAACATAAGCCTACAAAATGTTACATTTAAACACTTAGATTACTTGTAAATTAGTTAAATGTTTGAAGGTGGCGAAACTGCCTGCACCTTTGAGCAAAACCACAGAAGGCCTGATGACGTCACAAATGTTGCTGCGTGACGTCATTCAGGCGTGTTTACTACAATGTTTATTTATAGGAATTTCAGTCGAATCTTCTTCTGTATTGGTGCTTGTCGGCATTTTGATACATCCCTATTTGGTCGAATTATTAACAGAAACCCTTACTAATGTGACGAATTTGCCTTCACTGACGTTACTAATATAAAAATCAATAAAATCATACATGTCAATGATTAAGGTTTCTTTAAAAGATGAAGGTGATTTCCTTATGTATCTATAAAAGAAGACATTTGAAGATTTTGACACTTTTAAACTATGAAATATAAACAGGGTCATTTGCAGACATGTATCTTTGCGTAAGTCAGTTGAAGGTTTTTACACATTTGATAAAGGTAATTTAACTAAACAAAGTGGACAGCCCTAATTATCCTAACAAGCTGTGACCTTGCAAGTGAGTCGACATGATTTAATTCAACAAATTTTATAATCCCATTAAGCTACAAGCTGAATTTCATTACTATAAACATTAAATATCTTAAGAAGAAATATCCTTAGTGTCTGACTAATATGGTATTTCACTGCTCAGCAATCTTTAATCAGATGCCTTATTTTATGTGCAGATTATAAAAATGTCAATCTCAATCAGTGACTGTACCCATTGCGCCCTGATGAAGATGATGGCAGTATTCTGTGTTTCATGCCCTTCGGACCTGGTCCACTACCTGTAATAAAACAACAGGCCTCTAAGAACAGGAAAAATAAAATCCCCATCCCACACAAAATATGCACAACAACCTGATGTACTGATAACATGTATTGTGTTTCATAAACATTAGACAGGTAAGGAATGTATCCTCAGCACCTGACACAAAAGGCATATTAAAACAGAAACAAGAAAAGGGGCATAACTCTGATAAACAAAGTGCACAGAACTAACTATTGTACATTAATGTAAGTTATTGATCAGGTGTACCTAGATACACATTGGTGAAGGAGTGGTGCATCCGACCACCTTCTATTTACCGAGGGACACCCTGTTCTTAGATCTCCACTCCCCTATTGTGTTGGGGTAGATAATACAGACAATATTTTTAACTGAAACATTTATCAAATGATTTATTTAGCATTTGAAATGCTGAATTATATGATGGAAATTTTGTATTAGATATCAGAGGATGGCTATAATTAACATGAATAAAAAACATGGAAACAGTAGACAAGGATACATACTACTTGAGCTCTTTGTTTCCCGGGCAAACAGATGCGAGACAAAGCCGAAGTTGCAGTTTTGTTTGGAGAGTATACAGATGATGTCATCGGAAAGCTGGTCTCGGTTATTGGTAAGGAAGTTAGAGGCATCGTACACTACACGACCCGCAAAATGGCGAATACCAAACACACTTGATGCCTTGGGCAGTGGTTCAAAGAAACTATAAAAACAATTCAATGATGTCAACATTATTTTGATCATACAGAGATTTTAGATTGTTTATGTTTATGAAAGTTTTCATTTGAAAACACAATTTATTTTTACATGATGTGTGAACAGTTCAGCTAGCTGCCAATCATTTCTAATTTTAATAAATTGTTGATCAACAGTTATCAATGCAATGTAAAGTTACAAGTTCAACTATACTGTGATCACATACCCTTTACATAAACTTTTAATGTAAAGTTACAATCGGAGATTCAGGTGGATCAATCCAAAACTAAATCTGTCAGTCAGGATTTGTTAGGTTATATTTACGATAGTCTATAACTCAGTCATGACAGGATTTGTTAGGTTATATTTACGATAGTCTATAACTCAGTCATGACAGGATTTGTTAGGTTATATTTACGATAGTCTATAACTCAGTCATGACAGGATTTGTTAGGTTATATTTACGATAGTCTATAACTCAGTCATGACAGGATTTGTTAGGTTATATTTACGATAGTCTATAACTCAGTCATGACAGGATTTGTTAGGTTATATTTACGATAGTCTATAACTCAGTCATGACAGGATTTGTTAGGTTATATTTACGATAGTCTATAACTCAGTCATGACAGGATTTGTTAGGTTATATTTACGATAGTCTAATATAGAAGTTAAAAATATGTCAACCAATTATCAGAGGCAAGGGCAATTATATTGATTTAAATTCAACTAAAAACCCAACACTTGGTAAGGTGCTTGACCAGACTGTCAGTAAATTAATACCTTTGTTACAATTGGCCAGATGAAATTTGAAGTATTAAATACCTTATCCAATCAGAGACCTGGAGAGCATGCAGGATTACGAATCATCCCGAAAAATCACAACATTTGGTAATGGCCATAAGAGAATCATTGGTAATAAGTTACAATAAAATATCTCGGGCAAATCAGAGGTCAAAATGATGTACAGGGTAAGTTAAACGTAACTGTAGTACATGTAGTTTACTTGTTACTCACTAGTTGTTGATCCTGTGGTGGACCTTGGCCTTGCTGACAAAAGTGTCGGCTGATGTACGCGGCTGAGCACACTCCGTATCTAGGATACTCAGCAACCCACTCCTCTACAACATCAAATACCCAGTAAAATGGGAGTCGTTGTGTTACGCTCGCATATGTATATATACAGGTGGTAGGTATTTTGTGATGTTTTGTATGTAATGTTTGTGTACGTGTGTTATTTGGTGGAACGCTACCTAGAAAGCGGAAAGGTAAGTATGTTCGAAAAGACACGAGAGGTACCGGGGGAAGAAACTTTGAAACATGGCGGTATTGCATGTTCACATGGAGAACGGACAATATTATATACTTTCATAGGCCGCTCCATGAGGAAAGCACAGAAAGCTGACTGTGGTAAGTGTTTAACCCATGTTTGTTGATGTCCCGTGTATTTGGTCCGCTTGGATTGTTGTAATTTACCTGATGGAGACCGGTCAAGCATTCTTAGGTGGTGCGGTCCACTCATGCGTGACTGAGTTGTTTACGTGTGCATTTCGTCTATAAACCATTTTACACGTGTTATAATTGTAATAATCGGTATATATTGGTTGTATGAAGAAGATAATTGTGTGTTACTTGTGTGTAAATTATCAGAAACCTAGATGTTATTGTACATTACATTATTTGTGCGTATGCATTATCTGTAGGTACGGAGGCCCATAGGTGACATGTTAGTTGATTGCATGCTGTGGACCCGCACAGATTCTTAATGGCTAGTTTGCTAACATTTCGCTTCTTATGTTATCAGCATTTAGTGTATTCTTTGTGATCGTAGTTACGTAATTATTCTAAATATCAATATCCTTTTAGGTATTCGAAATGTCGGTTTGTGAGAATTATAAAAGTATGGAAGCGCGTGGGTGAAATAAATGTGTAGTTAAAATATGTGAAGTGACATTCAAATTACGGGAATTTAAATGGATTTTCGTCATCTTCTGTCATATTTTCCATCTTTTGCCAGCTTTCTACCCTGGGATTATCTGGAGGATCAACTGTTGAACAGACCAGCTGACACACGAGACAGATCTGACCATGACAGGGTCATTTGGGTGTGATACAGCGGCGGTACGACATATCCTAAGATAGCCAGCGGTTTCTTTGCATAGAGGAGGACTTCCACTGAAGTCGATGGTCTATTGTGTAAGACCACCCAATTTGTCTACAGTGCCAGTAGATTGTGCCACCCTTCTAGATGGTGGACGTGTGTAAACACTTGCATGTTTTGACGCTGTCCAGTGGGATAGCCAACCCTAACTCATGGCTGGTGTGAGGTAGACTTTGTTCTAGTTCCAGAGGAGTTTAGGATAGTTTACATTAGAGGATCTGGATTTGACAGAACATTTCCTGTATACTGTATTTATTTATGTGTTGTGAGTGTGAGTGAGTATGTATTATATTAATCTGTGTTGTACATTATCTTTATAAATAGTGTAAGTAAATATGTATATACTGTATAGAGTGTACTATTGTGTTGTCATTGCCGGGTAAGGATGCGTCGCTCGTTCCACAGTTACACATTGTGTTAGTCAAAGTAGAACATGAATTGATGTGTTCCTAAGAGCACTCTTAGAAACCCTGTATTGCTAAACACTCAATTACATTTGGAAACACTACTGCTTCCATGTAGTAGTTTCTTGATAGCAAAAAAAGCAATAGGTTTTCTGAGGGCAAGAGATTGTTCTTATGTTCAAGTGTTCCTGAGAACAATTTAATATTCCTGAGAGTAATAGTGTATCCCTGAAAGCAGAATTTATATTAACCTTTTGTGAAATAAACTCTAGCAGGCTGCATCATGGTTAATAGAAGATTTGCCTTTAAATGACAATGGCTTAGACTGACCTGGTGTAAAAGGAGCTCTAGCATTAGTTTTAGAAAGGGTTCAAACTTACAGTTACATACATGTAAGGATCTAGGATTGGTTAAAAGCATGTTCATCTGACCTTCTATGCCAAAAACCAGTACAGGTTCAGTTGAGAGCTTTGACCTACCTTCTTGGATGAGAGGAGCTTTGGGATAGGTTGAGAGGAGGTTTGACTTAGACCTACCTTGGATGAGAGGAGTTCAAGGATTGGTTCATTGTCAAAGTAGGTGACCTCTATATCAGCCTGAATGCCTTCTTCTCTTAAAGACTGCATGGTGCTCCTAAACACATGAGTGTTGTAGAAATGCTGCATGGTTTCTGCACACAGGTTTATACACAGCTGCTCCAACCGATTACACTGTAAGTTAGATGACAAGTTTTACACATCCAATAATACAGGTTTATTTATACACCTTCGTTTAATACGTGTTTATACACTGTTTATCAGATAATACAGGTTCATACACTGTTTATCAGATAATACAGGTTTATACACTGTTTATCAGATAATACAGGTTTATACACTGTTTATCAGGTAATACAGGTAAATATGCTGTCAGGTAAAACAGGTAATACAGGTTAATACAATGTCACAAAATACAGGTTCAAAGCATTGCAAATCTGATTTGACAGTAAAATTTGATAATTTTAAGATAATACAGTAATTTCCAAGAGTCTGAAATCTGTTTTGTCTGATTACCTCAGCTGTCTCAAATCCAAACATGTCCACAATACTGATGAAACCATCAACTCTGGTTTTCTTGCTGTAGTTACTACAGACACTGCTGGTTAGGGACGGGTTCCGACTCAGGGGCATGTCTCTCACCCCTGACAGCCCTAGGGAATCTACAAAAAAGACAGCTTATATAGTAAACAGCATAATAGGCATTATAACTTAATGTGAAGGGCGAACATTTCCCGGTATCGGGTACCTTCCCAGAGTAAATTGTTTTGACAATGATGAGTTATCTACCTTGATGAAGGTTGGACTCTATGCTGTCTGACAAAGTGGAGTTACAGGTTGGCCTCCTAATGCTGTTTGCTCGCTTTAATATTGCTGACACTGTTCGGAAGTAGAGGGCCTTGGTCAGGGCATCTCTTGTTGCGTTTGCCTGAGAAATGGAGATACCTTAATTAAGCTTCTGAAATGCTTTTTTGTACACAAGTTTAGGCTATGACACCTCTAAACTACAAACACATGGCAAACATCCAGTTAGGTAATACTTGCAAATGTACTGGGTATATATCACATGAGAGATATCCCTTACCATGTTAACATCTGCCAGAGACTTGCAGACCTGTCCTCGTGAATTTCTTGTGCGAGTTGTAAAGCCACGATACAGGGCAACCCCAGACACACCCAGTAAGGCAGCCACAGCCTTGATCTCTGTAAACAACAAAGGATACTATATAATGATAGATAATGAAAAAAAAACACTAGTACACTTTCATGTACAGTAAATATCAATGTAATTGGCAGGTGATTTGTCCAAATGTACATAAATTTAGTATTATTTACCTCATGTCTATAGCTTTGAATTAGTTTTATTTTGTTAACTCATTGCTGAATTCAGGGTTTCAAGGTTATTAAGCTTTCACTTATACATATCACAAATGGTTTTGTATTCATGATACAGTAACCATTCCCCTGAAGTATAACCTTGCACAGAATCATAAAGTGAGGTAAATAGAGTCCTCTCAGATCCACTTTTGTTATGAAATTTTGTTTCACAGAGCCAAGGTGAAATACTGAAGGCATCCTTCCACTTAACTGCTCTTTATTGTATTTTTATTTCATAAACAAATGTATAAGGCCTGGACTGTCTATAAGATAAAAATATCCAGATGCTGTAGAACATTTCCAACAAGCACACAAGAGTCAGACACACTTTCAACCTTATAGCTGCATGATATTCTACTCTTATTAACCACTGCCAACAAGAACTTATACATGTACAAGAGGCCCAGAGGGCCTGTATCGCTCACCTGGATATCTAAGCAATCATGGCAAAATATTCTCCAAATGAAATCCAAGGGAATATGCCAGACCCCAAGGCCAATCCTTGTAGCATATCTATATTAAATTTTTCATGCCCAACAACTTTATGTATGGTTATTGGGTGGGAATCTCAACTGTTTCCAAGCTGTAACTCAAAAACTAGGTCCATAGGTTGTGGCCAAACCCCAGGATCAATTCTAATATCATGACTGCATTAGTCTCTTTATGCCCAACAATTGTATATATAGTTTTGGGGTGTGGATCTTAACCATTTTGAAGTTATGACCAAGGGGTTATGTCTCCAAGGCTGGGGCAGACCTCAAGGCCATCCTGGAAGCATATGTGCATTTATTTCTTTATACTCAGCAATTGTATATATGGTTTTTGGGTGGGGATCTCAACTGTTTCCAAGCTGTGACTAAGAAACTAGTTCCCTAGGGGTTTGGACAGACCCCAGGATCTATTCCAATATCATGACTGCATTCGTCTCTTTATGCCCAGCATTTGTATATATAGTTTTGGGGATGGGATCTCAACCGTTTCCAAGTTATGACCAAGGGACTATGTCTCCAAGGGTGGGGCCAGACCCTAGGGCCATCCTGGAAGCAACTGTGCATTCTTCTGTTTATACTCAGCAATTGTATATATGGTTATACGGTGGGGATCTCAACCACTTCCAAGTAATAAACTTTTTTTTGGCCCCACTCCTTAGCCCGGGGGGTCAGCAACAAAATTTGTACAATTTTGTATCCCTACCTCCCATGAATGCTTTCGACCAAATATGGTCGATATCCATGGCACAGTTCTACAGAAGAAGTCGTTTATAGCAATATAGCCAAATTGCCCCCTTTTGGCCCCACCTTCAGCCCCCTGGGGGGCAGCCCTACCATTTGTACAATTTTGAATCCCCACCCCCTAGGGATGCTGCCAGTCAAATATGGTTAATATCCATCTCTTAGTTCCAGAGAAGAAGTCGCTTAAAGCAATATAGCCAAATTGCCCCCTTTTGGCCCCACCTTAAGCCCCCTGGGGGTCAGCCCTACCATTTGTACAATTTTGAATCCCCACCACCTAGGGATGTATCCAGTCAAATTTAGTCATATTCCAATCAGTGGTTAAGAAGAAGAAGAAGTCGTACAAAGAAATTGTTGACATACAGACGACGGACGAAGGACGGACGACGGACGCCACGGTAACGCATAAGCTCACCTTGGTCCTTCGGATAATAATCTATTTACCATTGTTGCCCACAAGGTCCAGTTCTAGGCCAGTACCCTCCACAAACTCAATATTTCCTAGCAGTAGGACAGCAGAAAACACTCTCATCACGTCTGAGAATGGAATACCTAGGATTGACAGGGCACTCTGCAAAATATATAGGCAGTTTGGAAACAGTTAGTCCAGTTTAAGTAACAAACTGAAACCTGGTCAGAACTATAGAATTATACGTGATATGAAAATTGTAAATCATAGAAACGGCAATACTGCAGTTTTGAGTTACTTTTTACATTTGCAAATTTGGAAATTGAATGTTTAAATTTCTCCAGCTATTTCAGCATGAGTGGGAGGAGTCTAAAAGAACATGAATACACCCTCAGTAAAAGATTTCCACGTGTACATGTTGAATGACTTATGACCTTATCCAAAATATAAAAAAAATGTTTGAATTCTTTCTTCATCAGTAGAAAAGCAAACCAGATTGTGTAAGTAGGAACAGTAGAAGAAGGAGTATTGGCTATTTATAGAAATATTGGCTATTTATAGAAATATTGGCTATTTTTAGTAAAAAAAGTCAACAAACAAGTCTCTTACACTACTTTTCAACTTGTTACTTAGAACTTCATTAAGGATTAAGTGAGTCAGGACCAAATCCTATGGTAAAATTAGGACTTATTTAATTTGCAAAGATTTTACAACATGTCTATATAATTATGCTGGAAATTATAAGACTTTTTTTATTAATTAAAACAAGAGATTCCCGGTGAGGCCCAAACCTTACAGGTGTCAAAATATGCGATTTAATTATCTATCATATTGCTTAATCAAGGTATGAGGTAAGGTACAGGGCTGAGTATATACCTTCCAGGCATCAAATCGTGCTTTGTCCTCAAGTTCATTCTGTAGCGTACTTCCTGAGCTGAGGTAGCGTAAGTTGTGGATAGAGTACCCGGTTAGGTGCAGCTTGGCTGTAATGGGAGATAACTGGTTTTTTAACATTTGTTATACAAAATTGTATAATTTTATTAATATTACAAGGGAAGAGGGGATTATATAGAAGATATCAAATGAATGATGAATGAAGATGATAAATTTCCTTTCAAGGGAATTAACTCTGTGGTGTAATCAAGTAAGTCTGACAGTGTCAGAGGTGCTGTGTGTGTACCTTTACAAGTAAGTCTGACAGTGTCAGAGGTGCTGGGTGTGTACCTTTACAAGGAAGTCTGACAGTGTCAGAGGTGCTGTGTGTGTAACTTTACAAGTAAGTCTGACAGTGTCAGAGGTGCTGTGTGTGTACCTTTACAAGTGAGTCTGACAGTGTCAGAGGTGCTGTGTGTGTACCTTTCCAAGTAAGTCTGACAGTGTCAGAGGTGCTGTGTGTGTGCCTTTACAAGTAAGTCTGACAGTGTCAGAGGTGCTGTGTGTGTACCTTTACAAACTCTCTTCTCTTCAAGGTAAAAGTAGGAAGATAAAGAAAGAGATAGATTACAGAAAAAGACAAACTGTTCCAAGAATAAGTACCTGCAAAGTCGAGCTGCATGGAACTTGTGGTGACTAGATTATTAGGCTCTGCCATACACAAGCTCCTTCAGATCACTTAGAAGAATTTTGGTCAAGTTTTCTTATCATGAAATTTTGAATTCTAGTGGTATACAGAAACCTTCTAATGGTAAGCAAAGCAAATGACAGAAGGAGAGAAGTAACCCCTGTATCTAGGTTTCCATCACTGTATTGATACCTGTGCTGACTAGTCAGGCCCAGATACGCAGGCCATCATCAGGGCTCAGCTATTTGGTAACAGCTACATGGTGATGGAGGTATTGGTAAAGGTTTGAGGGACTTTATAAAATCTGTTAGATATTTGACTGAATAGGTAATCATGATTTACCTTTCTCTTCAGTGCCAAGGCCACTCAACATCTGATAAAATATGTGGTAGTTCTTTTCATAGCGTTGAATGCTACACACCCTTTCCTGAAAACATGTAAAAAAAAAAAAATCAAAGAAAACAAAATTTAATACATAAATCAAAAGCTTTACATGTTGAAGTACATTTGATCAATGTCTATGCTGCACCTATACACATGGTGGCCGCACTGGACAATGGTGGACATTCCTATGGAGTTTCCTCACAAGTCTCCTCATGGCTTAACTACCATGTGGCATGCTATACAACCATATACAGATACAGACACACGACTCCAGTTACATAAGACAACCCATTAGATGTCCTCTTGCTCAGTCCTCCCGGTAACCTGATACTGAACTCTGACTTAATGCTACCTTAACATGGACAGATTTATTTCACCTGTAAGTGGGAGTAATTTACACCTGTCTATACCTGTAACATATTGCTTACCATTCCTTCTGATCTTTTGTAATTAAATGGTCTTGAAAAATGCTGGTGAAACGTGCATGCTGGTATTTGAACAAATCTCCTGGAGCAAAAAATGATTCTCTCAATAAAATATTATTGTCTTATATAGATATCATGTTTCATGTTTTAACAAATGGAAATGAAGAACACATTTAAAGAAAATAGTATTGAATGTCTTCCGGACCTAGAGTTACCTACCCTGTCCAGGAGATACGCATGTATCTTAGCTCTGTAGATGGCAGTGTCTGTTATAAAGTTCTCTATGAACATTCCCTGAAAAGATACGAAGGTTTCGTGTTATATCAATACATCTGATATTAAGGATGACCAAATGCAGGCAAAATGCTTAAGAATTTCACTGTTGTGTTCGTACATGCAGTAACCTCCAGTTTATTGGGTTTTGAAAATGCCTGTACCTCACCACTCGGCTACACTCAGGGTTGGTGACAGTGGTCACTAAACATTCCCCACCCTAGATACTCACCACTCGGCTACACTCAGGGTTGGTGACAGTGGTCACTAAACATTCCCCACCCTAGATACTCACCACTCGGCTACACTCAGGGTTGGTGACAGTGGTCACTAAACATTCCCCACCCTAGATACTCACCACTCGGCTACACTCAGGGTTGGTGACAGTGGTCACTAAACATTCCCCACCCTAGATACTCACCACTCGGCTACACTCAGGGTTGGTGACAGTGGTCACTAAACATTCCCCACCCTAGATACTCACCACTCGGCTACACTCAGGGTTGGTGACAGTGGTCACTAAACATTCCCCACCCTAGATACTCTGACCACTCGGCTTCACTCAGGGTTGGTGACAGTGGTCACTAAACATTCCCCACCCTAGATACTCACCACTCGGCTACACTTAGGGTTGGTGACAATGGTCACTAAACATTTCCCACCCTTGATACTCACCACTCGGCTACACTCAGGGTTGGTGACAGTGGTCACTGAACATTCCCCACCCTAGAAATTCACCACTCGGCTACACTCAGGGTTGGTGACAGTGGTCACTAAACATTTCCCACCCTTGATACTCACCCCTCGGCTACACTCAGGGTTGGTGACACTGGTCACTGAACATTCCCCACCCTAGATAATCACCTCTCGGCTACACTCAGGGTTGGTGACACTGGTCACTAAACATCCCCCCCCCTAGATACTCACCACTCGGCTACACTTAGGGTTGGTGACAATGGTCACTAAACATTTCCCACCCTAGATACTCACCACTCTGCTACACTAAGGGTTGGTGACAGTGGTCACTAAGCATTCCCCACCCTAGATACTCACCACTCGGTTACACTCAGGGGTGGTGACAGTGGTCACTAAACATGCCCCACCCTAGATACTCTCCACTCGGCTACACTCAGGGTTGGCGACAGTGGTCACTAAACATTCCCCACCCAAAAACTCACCACTCGGCTACACTCAGGCATGGTGACAGTGGTCACTGAACATTCCCCACCCTAGATACTCACGACTCGGCTACACTCAGGGTTGGTAACAAAGGTCACTAAACATTCACCACCCTAGATACTCACCACTCGGTTACACTCAGGGGTGGTGACAGTGGTCACTAAACATGCCCCACCCTAGATACTCTCCACTCGGCTACACTCAGGGTTGGTAACAGTGGTCACTAAACATTCCCGACTCTAGATACTCACAACTCGGCTACACTCAGGGTTGGTAACAAAGGTCACTAAACATTCACCACCCTAGATACTCACCACTCGGTTACACTCAGGGTTGGTGACAGTGGTCACTGAACATCCCCCACCCTAGAAATTCACCACTCGGCTACACTCAGGGTAGGTGACAGTGGTCACTAAACATTTCCCACCCTTGATACTCACCCCTCGGCTACACTCAGGGTTGGTGACACTGGTCACTGAACATTCCCCACCCTAGATACTCCCCACTCGGCTACACTCAGGGTTGGTAACAGTGGTCACTAAACATTCCCGACTCTAGATACTCACAACTCGGCTACACTCAGGGTTGGTAACAGTGGTCACTAAACATTCCCGACTCTAGATACTCACAACTCGGCTACACTCAGGGTTGGTAACAGTGGTCACTAAACATTCCCGACTCTAGATACTCACAACTCGGCTACACTCAGGGTTGGTAACAGTGGTCCCTAAACATTCCCCACCCTAGATACTCAGCACTCGGCTACAGTCAGGGTTGGTGACAGTGGTCACTGCACATTCCCCTCCCTAGAAATTCCCCACTCGGCTACCCTCAGGGTTGGTGACAGTGGTCACTGAACATTCCCCACCCTAGATAATCACCTCTCGGCTACACTCAGGGTTGGTGACACTGGTCACTGAACATTCCCCACCCTAGATATTCACCACTCGGCTACACTCAGGGTTGGTGACAGTGGTGGCTGAACACAGGGACTGGATAACAGTCAGGGTGGCAGACAGGTGTTTAAATGTATCAGTCTCTGATCCTCCACCCGCAATATCAAACAGCTGACGTAGTAGCTGCATAGCACAGAACGTCTTGCCACTCCCACTTTCCCCACTGTAAACAATATTGCCTGGAGATTATTGTGCAACCTTTTTTATCCACACTCCACAAATGATCATGAATTCTACTTCAGGTAATGTGAGTGAACTTTAATTTAAATGTGAAAGTTTTAGGTTAAATATGTCAACTTTATGTTTAGATATATTTATGTGTGTTAAAATTTTCCCTTAATTGAGCAGACAAGGTGGTAAACTTGACAGGTGTGATCATCATTGTGAGGTTAGTACCTACCACTACAAGTCACCATGCTTCACTTATTGCACTCTCATCAGTTTTATCTGTTTCTGATATATTTCCTATGTGTACCAATATTATACACCTTTATGTACCAGTATTATAAAGCTTTATGTACCAGTATTATAAAGCTTTATGTACCAGTATTATACAGCTTGATGTACCAGTATTATACAGCTTTATGTATCAGTATTATACAGCTTTATGTACCAGTATTATACAGCTTTATGTACCAGTATTATACACCTTTATGTACCAGTATTATACAGCTTTATGTACCAGTATTATAAAGCTTTATGTACCAGTAGTATAAAGCTTTATGTACCAGTATTATACAGCTTGATGTACCAGTATTATACACCTTTATGTACCAGTATTATAAAGCTTTATGTACCCGTATTCTACAGCTTTATGTACCAGTATTATACACCTTTATGTACCAGTATTATACAGCTTTATGTACCAGTATTATAAAGCTTTATGTATCAGTATCATAAAGCTTTATGTACCCGTATTATATAGCTTTATGTACCAGTATTATACACCTTTATGTACCAGTATAATACTGGTACATAAAGGTGTATGATACTGGTACATAAAGCTGTATAATACAGGTACATAAAGCTATATATTACTGGTACATAAAGGTGTATAATACTAGTACTTAAAGCTGTATAATACTCTTACATAAAGCTTTATAATACTGGTACATAAAGATTTATAATACTGGTACATACAGCTTTACAATTCTGGTACATAAAGGTGTATAATACTGTTACATCAAGCTGTATAATACTGGTACATCAAGCTGTATAATACTGATACATAAAGATTTATAATACTGGTACATACAGCTTTACAATTCTGGTACATAAAGGTGTATAATACTGGGTAATAAAGCTATATAATACGGGTACATAAAGCTTTATAACACTGGTACATAAAGGTGTATAATACTAGTACATAAAGCTGTATAATACTGGTACATAAATGTGTATAATACTGGTACATCAAGCTGTATAATACTGGTACATAAAGGGGTATAATACTGGTACATCAAGCTGTATAATACTGGAACATAAAGGGGTATAATACTGGTACATCAAGCTGTATAATACTGATACATAAAGATTTATAATACTGGTACATACAGCTTTACAATACTGGTACATAAAGGTGTATGATACTGGTACATAAAGCTGTATAATCCTGGTACATAAAGGTGTATAATACTATTACATAAAGCTGTATAATACTGATACATAAAACTTTATAATACTGGTACATAAAGATTTATAATACTGGTACATAAAGCTGTTTAATACTCTTACATAAAGCTGTATCAGTATTATACAGCTTTATGTAAGAGTATTATACAGCTTTAAGTACTAGTATTATACACCTTTATGTACCAGGATTATACAGCTTTATGTGCCAGTATTATAAAGCGTTATGTACCAGTATTATACAGCTTTATGTATCAGTATTATACAGCTTTATGTAAGAGTATTAAACAGCTTTATGTACCAGTATTATACAGCTTTATGTACCAGTATTATACAGGTACATAAAGCTATATATTACTGGTACATAAAGCTTTATGATACTGATACATAAAGCGTTATATTACTGGTACATGATGCTGTATAATACTGGTATATAAAGCTGTATAATACGGGTACATAAAGCTTTATGTACCAGTAATATATAGCTTTATGTACCTGTATTATACAGCTTTATGTACCAGTATCATACACCTTTATGTACCAGTATTATAAAGCTTTATGTACCAGTATTATACAGCTTCATGTACCAGTAATATAAAGCTTTATGTATCAGTATCATAAAGCTTTATGTACCCGTATTATACAGCTTTATGTACCAGTATTATACAGCTTGATGTACCAGTATTATACAGCTT